AAATTCAGAAGAACTTTAGGGACTGTGACTGAGGAATAGCAAATATCCAGAAAAGAAAGATGACTCAGGAAAAAATACATGGGGTTTTGAAGATGACTGCAGTTCTTTATTACCACCATGATAATCATGTTCCCCATTAATGTTATTGCATAAATGAATGAAAACACAAGAAAAAGAAAGATCTGGCTGAAATGTTGCATGAAAAGCCAGACAGAATGAAATAGGTCACTGTAGAATTCAGATTTTCCATTTCCATTTCAGCAAAATACCATCTACAATGTGTAGAAAACATATTATAAATGTGTTTAGGTGGGGGGAAAAAAGGAAGATGCAAGTAGCAGATAAACAAGAAGGGCTTTGAAAAGCCTTTCTTTTTTCAACAGGAAAAGAAAAATATATCATATTAAAGGAGTAAAGGAGTAATAAGCATGTAACCTTCAGCCAAAGTTTGGCATTCTTAATCCTTATTGTATTCCATAAAAATTGTTAAGTTATCCCATTGATGATGTCTCAATCATTGGTAATGTTGATTAAAGCCAACCATTTATTTATTTATTTATTTATTTATTTATTTATTTATTTATTTACTTACTTACTTACTTACTTACTTACTTACTTAAAATGTGCAAACATAGCATTACTTTGGATTCATGGTTCTTTTGGTAAGTCATTCAAAAAAGAGAACATGAACAGAAACACAGTTCAAAACTGTGATTTTTATTATGAAGGAAAATAACGACTATTGTAAACTAAACACACAGATATTGATGATATTTGGTGACATATTGAAGTTGAACCTTAATTATCTAAGAGCTACTGCCATAGAAGTTAGCAGTCCTCAAGGTAAAGGTAAAACAGTGAGTGGGCTACCACCAAATTTTACCAATGAGGAAGACTGGCAGAACCAGATTTTTCAGTGTTACAAGCTAGAAAATTTATGGGGGAAGGTGGTATACTAGAGGGACCATTTGAGATTCAACTGTATCTAGCAAATAATGATGATGATGATGATGATGATGATGATGATGATAATTATTATTATAATAATTATAATAATTATAATAATTATAATA